ACTCAAAAACAAAATTAGTGGCCATGGTGGTGCATGCCTGTAGTCCCCAGCTTACTCGGAGGCTGAGGTAAGAGAATCGTCTTGTATCTTAGAGGCAGAGTTGCAGTCACTCTAGATCATGTATTCTGTCTCCAGCCGGGCGACAGGTGAGGACTCTGTCAAAAAGAAAAAAAAATTAATATCTAAGAGCTGATGTTCGAGCAGTACAACATTCCTGCCTTCTTCTTATGCAAGACGGCCGTGCTCACCGCGTATCCTCTGGACTGAGCTGCTCTGACTGGGTGGAGGGCAGGGGTGGGGCCTGTGCTGAGCTCAGCTGAGATGAGCTGGGGGATCAGGCCTGGTTCTCTGAAGATCAGTGTCCCAATGGGCAGACACCTCCCTCCGCCCCACTAGTGCAGAAGGCCCAGTGGACTGAGCACATCTGAGCCTGGGGTGGCCAGATCAGCGGCCCCTTTCTGTTCCCTGGATCAGGCTGAGCAGACAGCGAGCTGGGCCCTGGAGAGAGCAGGCACTGGAACTGGACAGAGGAGGGAGATATGTAGAACACTGCGGCAGTCCCTTCCCAAGAACTCCTTCAACACTGACGTTTTTTAGGATCTGCCTTACATTGAACCCTGTGCTATGCACTGGGGTGATAGTGACCCTAATTTTAGGGAATCTATAGGACACAACCAAAAATAAAGGGGCTGGGCGCTGTGGCTGGCCAGGCACAGTGGCTCACACCTGTAATCCCAGCACTTTGGGAGGCCGAGGCAGGCAGATCACTTGAGGTCAGGAGTTCGAGACCAGTCCGGCCAACATGGCAAAACCCTGTGTCTACTAAAAATGCAAAAATTAGCCAGGCATAGTGGTGGGCACCTGTAGTCCCAGCTATTTGGGAGGCTGAGGCAGGAGAATCTCTTGAACCCAGAGGCAGAGGTTGCAATGAGCGATTGCACTCCAGCCTGGGTGACAGAGCAAGACTCAGTCTCAAAAAATAAATAAATAAATAAACAAACAAACAAACAAACAAACAAACAAACAATAAGTAAAGAAGTAACTGGGGTCTCAGAGCCTTTCTCCAGGAGATGAGTCATCACCAGGAGGAGAGATTTGCACACTGGGGGTGAGCTGGACCGTGGCAGAGCAGAGAGTGACCAGACCAGATCTGGGCCCAGGCCCCTCATTTGCCACTGCTGTCTCTTTGACTTACCCATCCGATGCCAGCTTTGCAAACGGGCGGTCCACGGGCCTTGTGCTGGACAGTGGGGCCACCCACACCACGGCCATTCCAGTACATGACGGCTACGTCCTGCAGCAAGGTGGGGCTTCGGCAAGGGGCAGGGGCGCACCGGGAGGACGAGATCCTGACACTGCCTTCCTTCCAGGCATCGTCAAGTCCCCTCTGGCAGGGGACTTCATCTCCATGCAGTGCCGGGAGCTGTTCCAGGAGATGGCCATTGACATCATCCCACCTTACATGATCGCAGCCAAGGTGGGGCCTCTGGGGACACAGAGCTGCCACTAGAGTCCTGGCCACTCGCCCCATGGCCGTCAACCCGCTGACACACGAGATATCAGAGCAGAGAGCAGCAGGCTCCCCAGTGGGTCCTGGCTCCAGTTTCTCCTTATATAAGTGAGGCATCTGAAATCCAGACAGGCTGAGGGATACGCTGAGGTCATGGAATCAGCTAGCAGACAGCAGGATGTGTGAGGGCCAGTGTGGTGGGTTCTAGGGTTCAATATAAACCCAGGTTCAAGTTCTGCCTCTGCCGTGCAAGAGCTGTGAGACCGGCCGGGCATAGTGGCTCATGCCTGTAATCCCAGCACTTCGGGAGGCCGAGGCAGGCAGATCACTTTGAACTCACTTCGAGACCAGCCTGGGCAACATGGTGAAACCACATCTCTACTAAAACTACAAAAACTAGCCAAGCATGGTGGCACATGCCTGTAGTCCCAGCTACTCAGGAGGCTGAGACTGAAGAATCACCTGAACCCTGGAAGCAGAGGTTGCAGTGAGCCGAGATCGCGCCACTGTACTCCAGCCTGGGCGACAGAGTGAGACTCTGAAAAAAAAAAAAAAAGAGCTGTGTGACCAATAGCATGATATCAAAGCTCCCTGGGCCTCAGTTTCCTTTTCTGTAAAGTGGAACGGTAGTAGGCAGTAGCCAGGGTGCTGTATGAAGTGACACTGTGTGCTTAGCTCCGTCCTGTGCCCTCACGTGGATCGCGGCCCCCTAGGAGGCCATTCTCTGGAGATTCTGTCACTGCTGTATTCCTGGTGTTCTCCAGGTCAGCTGTATCCACTGCATGAAGGGCACACACGGAGAGAGAGGCATGCCCCATTCTCTCTCCTGTCCATCAGGAAAGGGTGAGAAACCCTCTTGCAGGCAGCACAGCAGAGCCTCCAGTGCCAGTTAGCTGCAGAGCTGGGAACAGTGCCAGGAAGGTGGGGTAGGGGTCAGGGTGGGCTAAGAAAGGGTGTTCCTACGCTGTGCCCCCACAGGAGCCTGTCCGGGAGGGCGCCCCCCCAAACTGGAAGAAGAAGGAGAAGCTCCCCCAGGTCTCCAAGTCCTGGCATAACTACATGTGTAATGTGAGCCTCTGGAGAGGGTCCCCTGAAGCCCCCTCCCCTGCCGTGAATGGGGGTGAGGCAGGGGCCCTGCATGGGAGGTGGAGCAGGGAGGGGGAGCTGGGCGGGGGGTGTTGCTCAGGAGGAACCCAGGCCCTCATCACCCTCACTGGGATTTCAGGAGGTGATCCAGGACTTCCAGGCCTCCGTGCTGCAGGTCTCAGACTCCCCCTACGATGAACAGTGAGTGTGGCTCAGGGCTGGGGGGTGGGAGAAAGGGCAGAACTGGGACTCCTGGGGTGGGCTGGGGGACTCTGGTGCTGTCCACCCACTGATCCCTCTTGAGCACCCCAGGCAGAGTCCTGCTCCCTTCTGGGCAGGGTGGCTGCACAAATGCCCACAGTGCACTACGAGATGCCCAATGGCTACAACACAGACTATGGCGCTGAGCGACTCCGCATCCCCGAGGGCCTCTTTGATCCCTCGAACGTCAAGGTTTGGCTGTGTGGCAAGGACTGGGGTGGGTGCTGGCTGCAATCCTTGGATCCTGGGGCGTGGGGGAGGCTGGGAAGGATTGCAGGGACTGGGGGAAGGGGGAGAGGGCCCACAGCCCCAGTCACCTCTCTCCGCAGGGCCTGTCGGGGAACACCATGTTGGGTGTGGGCCACGTGGTGACCACCAGCATCGGCATGTGTGACATTGACATTCGCCCGGTGAGGCCAGGCCGGAGCTGAGGCTGGGCAAAGGGGCCCACGGGAAGTGGGAAGGCAGGGTTGGGGGGCTGTCCCCCGTGGCTCACTCCTTCTTCCTGCTCTCAGGGCCTGTATGGGAGTGTCATTGTCACCGGCGGGAACACACTGCTGCAGGGCTTCACTGACAGGCTCAATCGAGAGCTTTCCCAGAAGACCCCACCGGTAGGAGCCCACCCCTGACCCAGTGCCCCAGAAGCCCATCCTGGCTCAGCTGTCCAGGACTGAGTCCCCCATTCTTCCCATGTCCTTCCTTCTGTTCTGTCCACCAGAGCAGAACCCTTGCCCCTGAGGCTTCCCAAGTCTTCCCCCTGCCCCCCAAGCCCTGTCCCTTCCCAGAACCTAGGTGTCTGCTTCCCCCAGCCCCTTTTTACCCCCAGAGCATGCGACTGAAACTCATTGCCAGCAACAGCACCATGGAGCGCAAGTTCAGCCCCTGGATTGGGGGTTCCATCCTGGCCTCACTGGTGAGAGGAAGGGGACCTGGCCTAGCACTGACTGTGGGGGAGAGGGGAGACCCAGACAGCGCTGGCCACTTTGCTTGCCTCTTCATTCATTCATTCATTCATTCAACGAACATTTATTTTTGAGAAATGTCGGTCAATGAATGTTCCCAGAAGGGTGAACAGGACACAAATTGGGGGCAGGGGCCCGGTACAGTGACCCACACTTATCATCCCAGCACTTTGGGAGGCTGAAGTGGGAGGATGGCTTGAGGCTAGGAGTTCAAGACCCAGCAGGGGAACATAGCAAGACCCATCTCTACTTTTACAAATTGGGGAGAAGAGGCCGCGCACGGTGGCTCACGCCTGTAATCCCTGCACTTTGGGAGGTCGAGGCGGGCGAATCACTTGAGGTCAGGAGTTTGAGACCAGCCTGGCCAATACGATGAAACCTTGTCTTTACTAAAAATACAAAAAATAGCCGGGCGTGGTGGTGTATGCCTGTAATCCCAGCTATTCAGGAGGCTGAGGCAGGAGAATCTCTTGAACCCAGGAGATAGAGATTGCAGTAAGCTGAAATCGTGCCACTGCACTCCAGCCTGGGTGACACAGTGAGACTCTCTCTCAGAAAAAAAAAAAAAAAAAAAAAGGAGTAGAGGGACAGGTAGTTGGAGAGATTGGTCAGGATGAGATTTTGGTGAGACACCCACTGTGCTCAGTCAGCAGAGGGGAGACCCTGATGGTTTGGGGCAGGGAGTGATGTGGCAATGCAGGCATGATTGGAAAGACTGCCAGGCATGAGTCTTTGGGGTTGAGGTGTGAGCTGGGGTCAACAGGACCTTGCAAGGAGGCTGTTTCAATTGTCCTGGAGTCATAGCATGGGTAGCAGTGGGGATGGGGTAGACAGCAAGGGGCAACTAGCAAAGGAGGCAGGCAGATTGGTTCTGGAGTAGGAGGTGGTAAGTTCAGTCTGGACCTGCTGCTGGGGTGGAAGGAAGGTACTGAGCAGGGAGCTGGAGTTGCAACCCGCATCTGGAGCGTATCAGTCACACAGAGGGGACAGTGAGGCCATGACAGACAAGGAGGACATCCATGAGAAAGAAAGTCCCCTAGGGAGACAGAAACTAGGGTCAGAAAGACAGAGGCTGGCAGTCTGAACTTAGCTTAGGGCTGGAGCATGTCAGCCACACAGTTCTTCTGTTTTTTTCCTTTTTTTTTGAGACAGAGTCTCACTCTGTCGCCCAGGCTGGAGTGCAGTGGAGCAATCTTGGCTCACTGCAACTTCTGCCTCCTGGGTTCAAGCGATTCTTCTGCCTCAGCCTCCCAAGTAGCTGGGATTACACGCGTGCACCACCATGCCTGGCTGATTTTTGGATTATTAGTAGAGACGGGGTTTCACCATGTTGACCAAGCTTGTCTCAAACTCCTGACCTCAAGTGATCTGCCCATCTTGGCCTCCCAAAGTGCTGGGATTACAGGTGTGAGCCACCGTGCCTGGCCCAAAATTAAGTATTAATAATATATCCTGGCCAAGTGGAGTGGCTCACGCCTGCAATCCCAGCACTTTGAGAGGCCAAGGCGGGAGGATCACTTGAGCCCAAAATTTCTAGACCAGCCTGGTCAATAAAGTGAGACCTCATCTCTACAAAAAATTTAAAAAGCAGCTGGCAATGTGGCACATACCTGTAGTCCCACCTACTTGGGAGGCCAAGGTTGGAGGATCACTTGAACCTGGAAGGTTGAGGCTGCAGTGAGCTGTGCCACTACACTCCAACCTGGGTAACAGGGCGAGATCCTGTCTAAAAAAAAAAAAAAGAAAAGAAAAAAATTCGGTGTGTATTTTCCACTTGGAGCATGTCTCAATTTGGACCAGGGCTGGTGAGCCACAGGAGGCTAGTGGCCACTGCCTTGGATAGCACATGTGTGTAGGGTGAGAAAGATCAAAGAACCCCAGGCATAGTAGCTCACATCTGTAATCCCAACATTATGGGAGGCTGAGGTGGAATGATTACTTGAGCCCAGGAGTTTGAGACCAGCCTGGGCAACACAGTGAGACCCCATCTCTACAAAAAATAAAAATTAGGCTGGGCATGGTGGCTTACGCCTATAATCCCAGCACTTTAGGAGGTCAAGGCGGGCAGATCATCTAAGGTCAGGAATTTGAGACCAGCCTGGCCAACATGGTGAGACCCTGTCTCTACTAAAACTACAAAAATTAGCCAGGTGTGGTGGCAGGTGCCTGTAATTCCAGCTACCCAGGAGCCTGAGGCAGGAGAATCGCTGGAACTTGGGAGGCAGAGGCTGCAGTGAGCCAAGATCACACCACTGCACTCCAGCCTGGGCAACGGAGCAAGACTCCATCTCAAAAAAAAAATTAAAAAATAAAAAATTAAAATTAAAATTAAAAAATAGAGAGAGAAGGGACACTCTTAGATGCTCATTGCAGGAACCCTCATGGGGTAAGTTGTAACGCTGAAGGCTTCAATTCAGATGGGGTGCCACAGTGTTGGAATGGTGAGGTGGAGGGAATATCTTCCTTGGGAAAGAGGGAGACTAGTGGTGTTCCGAAGCCCTGATGGAGTGAGGAGAGGACACCTGGTGGGGAAGGACTGTGTGTGTGTAGCGGGTGTTGAGTGCTGGGTGCAGGCTGGCTTGCCCGGGGCTGTGCGTGCCATCCCCCCAGCTCAGGAGCAGGGCCTAGCTCAGGGCAGAGACTGCTGTTCAATAAATACTTGCTGAATGAATGAATTATTGATTGAATGATATGAAGAGGATACTCTCCCTCTGAATATGAAAGGGGACAGACAGAGGAGGGGAGGATGAGGTGGGGAGAGGTTTCAGAGGGATGTGAACCCAAGGGGTGGTCGGGGCCTGTTGGAGGGTTCCCAGGGGCTGCACCTGCCGGTCCACACCTCCCTCCAAGGCCACCCTGACCCTGATATTGCCCCCTCCACCCAGGGCACTTTCCAGCAGATGTGGATCTCCAAGCAGGAATATGAGGAGGGCGGGAAGCAGTGCGTGGAGCGAAAGTGTCCCTGACGGCGCTCCTCCCCACGCACCTGCTCCCAAGCTCAGATGGAAGTCCCTTAACCCCATGCCACATCGCCCCCTCCTCTTTCCCTCTTGTCTTCGTAAATGGTGATGTTTCTGGGTTGAAAGAAGTAAAAATGTTTTAAGAAAAAAAAAGTTTGGCCTCCGTGGGGTGGGGAGTAGGCGGAGGGGTCTGGAGGGAGGTGAGCGGAGGGAGGGTCACTGCTACACCCATGCAGATCCCACAATGGGCGCTGGGACACAGCCCCAGGGGCCATGGATTCCTCAGGTTTCCGAGGGGTTGTGACCCAGGGGAGGCCACGCGACGAAGACTGAGGGTCGGGGGTGTTGCTGGGGTGTAACAGTTGTGGTGGGAGGTGGGAGGGGCTGCAGGCTGCAGCGGAGGGGCGGGGCCTGGAGTGAGTGTGGCAGGAGGTGGGTGGAGCAGGAGGTGAAGCCTGGGGGAGCGGAGCAGGAGGTGGGGCCTGGTGGGCGGGGCCTCAGCGTAGGCCTCAGGTCGCTGGGGAGCAGCGCGCCTGAGCACCCCAGGACCTGCGCTCAGGTGAGCTGCGCTATGCCTTCCTTCCTGGGGCTCTTGGTGGTGACAGACATGGGGCGGGGCCTAGGGCGCTGGTGCATCCCAGCAGCTCGGAACTTCTCTGGACCTGAGTAGGAGTTGATGTTTCCCAGGGGAGACCCCAAAGGGAAACTTGGTGGGACCCTGAGCCTTCCTCTTGAGAGCTACTTGTCCTGGGGCCCTCGGAAGGGCTTGGGGACCTGTGCCCCCTGCCTGTTTAGCAGTCTGTGCCTGCCTGTGATGTGTTTCTGGAGTGAGGCTAACTGGCCTTTCATCAGCCTCAGAACCCAAAGAGGTAGAAACCCACGTGATCCAAGTCCTTTGGTGACCAAACAGGGGCTGGTGCCCAGGGAGGGCCATGATTTGTCCAGGGTCACTCAGCTCTGCCCACACCTTGACAGAGACTCTGATCACTCCTCCCCACTGACCCACAGATCCATGACCCCAGGACCCCCATCTGGGAGCTCTCGCTGGTCTCATCTGACCATGTGCTCCCACCTGTGCCCCTCCTTCTCCAGCAGCCAGAGGGAGTCTGAGAACCACCTTTCAAAAGAGACGCACATGCACACCACCAGACCAAACCCCCAAGTCACACCACTGTGGTGACTCCAGCTTAGAATGCCACTGGGGCAAGTGTCAGGGCAGGGAGGACAGCTGATATGTCATAGAACCTGGGCACTGGGGGACCCTGAAAGCCAGATAAGGAAGGGGCAGATGTCTTAGGGGTGAATCTTCCACCTGGGCATGGCGGGGCTGAGGAAGGGGTCCCCAGGATCCAGGGAGGGGTAAAAGCAGGAGAGGGGAGGGGCACCCATGTCTCTCCCCTCCCCCACTATCGGCCCCCTTCCCCCACCCCTGATGGGAACTAGGAGGCCAAAGTCCGCCCCAAGGTCAAAAAATTGATTGTTTTGCAGGGAGCAGGCAGGTGTGGGGCTGTGGAGAGACTGGCAGGGGAGAGCACAGCCGCTTGTGCTCTGGCCTGGACTGAGGGGCCACGTCTAGAAGGTTGGACTGAGGCCAGGACTGTGCCCCCACCCTTGGGGGTGGTAAGGAGCAGCCTTGGCTCAGGCTTTCTGCCAGGGCTGATAAGGGGCCCTCCTGGGGCTCCCACAAACGGTTTATCGGTTTATCGCTGGGGACAGCCTGCAGGCTTCAGGAGGGGTCACAAGCATGGAGCGGCTTTGGGGTCTACTCCAGAGAGCAGTAAGAGCAGTGGGATTGGGAAGACCCCTTAGGCCTTCTCTCTACATCCCTCAGCCCCCTCCCAAGCCCCTGACGCTGGCCCCTCCTGGCCTGTGTCCTGACCTCGCTTCTTCCCACCCCTGCCCCTCTTTTCTAGCCCGCTCCCCTCAGTCCCTCCCCCACTCCCCCGCCACCATGCTTATTTGACACCCTTAAGTCACTGACCTCATTATTGCCAGATGCCTCCCCACCCCTCCCGGCCTCTTGCCCCAATCTCATGCCCACCTTGCCTGCACAGCAACAACTGTCCCCAAGATCCTCTCAGACCGTCTACCAGCGTGTGGAAGGCCCCCAGAAAGGGCACCTGGAGGAGGAAGAGGAAGACGGGGAGGAGACACTGGCCCACTTCTGCCCCATGGAGCTGAAGGGCCCTGAGCCCCTGGGCTCTAGACCCAGGCAGCCAAACCTCATTCCCTGGGCAGCAGCAGGACGGAGGGCTGCCCCCTACCTGGTCCTGACGGCTCTACTGATCTTCACTGGGGGTGAGAGTCGTCCTCCTCCCCTGAAGTAAAAGGCCTGGGCTGGGGGTCCAGAGGTGGGCACAAAGAGAATCCCCATCTTGCCACCCACCAGCCTTCCTTCTGGGCTACGTCGCCTTCCGAGGGTCCTGCCAGACATGCGGAGACTCCGTGTTGGTGGTCAGTGAGGACGTCAACTATGAGCCTGACCTGGATTTCCACCGGGGCACACTGTACTGGAGCGACCTCCAGGCCATGTTCCTGCAGTTCCTGGGGGAGGGGCGCCTGGAGGACACCATCAGGTAGGGATGGCCCTGCCCCATCCTGTTCTAGAGTGTCCCTCCCCTCCTCTGCTCAAACTGGGCCTCCCTGCCTCCTCGCCCAGGCCTCTGGTGTCTGGGTCCCCCTCCTGAGTCCTCCCATCTGCCTCCCTGGTCCCCCTGTTCAGCGGTCCTGGGAAGGATGGCAGGCATTCGGAGCTGAGGTTCCAGGGGACTGAGGCTCTGAGGGTGGCATATTTGGGAGGTGAGGGAGCTGACTGAGATCAGAGGGGTCCAGCATCCAATATCAGACCTGACAGACCCAGAAAAGCCTTGAAAGCCTAACACAGGCGCCTAGATTTGGACCTGTGGCAGTAGCAGGGAGCGCTGAGGGGTTCTGAGAAGGCGCATTCTACGGAATCAGAAAAACAAGCAAGCAAGCCTGGGCAATATGGCGAAACCCCGTCTCTACTAAAGAAAATACAAAAATTAGCTAGGGATGATGGCAAATGCCTGTAGTCCCAGTTACTTGGGAGCTTGGAGGGGGAGGATTGCCTGAGCTGGGGAGGCGGAGGTTGCAGTGAGCCGAGATTGCACCACTGCACTCCAGCCTGGGAGACAGAGCGAGACTCTGTTTCAAAAACAAAATAACGGTGGGGCACAGTGGCTCACGCCTGTAATCCCAGCACTTAGGGAGGCTGAGGCAGGTGGATCACTAGGTCAGGATATCGACACCACCTTGGCTAACGCGGTGAAACCCGTTTCTACTAAAAATACAACATATTAGCTGGGCATAGTGGCAGGTGCCTATAGTCCCAGCTACTTGGGGAGGCTGAGGCAGGAGAATGGCGTGAACCCAGGAGGCGGAGCTTGAGATCACGCCACCGCACTCCAACCTGGGCAACAGAGCGAGACTTCCGTCTCAAAACAAAACAAAACAAAAACAAACAAGCAACAATAACAACAACAAAAAAAAAAAAAAGAAAAAGAAAAACAAGCAAGCAAATGCATTTGTGGGTGCAGATTCTGAAGCTAGGTCCACCCATAGCCCTCTTTTGGGAGGGGAGTAATTTTTCAGCGGATTCGCCTGAATTTTCTAAGTAGGTGATCAGCTGAGCTACAAATAGTAGAAGATGGAGATTCTGTTTTCCAATGCTTATACCTTCTAAGTTTTTTTTTTTTTTTTTTCATTTCTCATTGCATTGGAGAGGACATTAATTTAAGGTAACAGTGGCAGTTAAAGGTATCTTTTCCTATTTCCTGACTTTAATAGCAATGCTTTTATAATACTTTGCCATTAAGAATGAACTTTGCTGTGCTCCAGACAGCTTTTGAAAATGAATTAAGGAAGTTTCCTTTTATTCCTAGCTCACTGAGACATTTATTTATTTATTTATTTATTTAATATATTTTTTGAGACAGAGTCTTGCTCTTGTCACCCAGGCTGGAGTGCAGTGGTGCAGTCTTGGCTCACTACAGCCTCCGCCTCCCAGGTTCACGCGATTCTCATGCCTCAGCCTCCTGAGTAGCTGGAATTACAGGTGCGTGCCATCACGCTTGGTTAACTTTTGTATTTTTAGTAGAGACAGGGTTTTGCCATGTTGCCCAGGCTGGTCTCCAACTCATAAGCTCAAGCGATCTGCCAAAGCACTTCGGCTTCCCAAAGTGCTGCGATTACAGGCATGAGCCACCGCGCCAGCCTCTTTTTTAATGTTTATATAGTAATTTGTGTTAATAGATTTCCTTATCTTCATGAGCTCAATGCTAACCTTGATCAAGGTGTATGATTACTCTTTTGATATGTTGCTGGGTTCACCTGCTGAAAGACCTTAAGTCTGTGGAATCAACAATGTTCAGGGCTTTATTTTTTCAGATGTGTGCCACTATGCCCAGCTAATTTATTTTTTCTTTTTTTGAGACAGAGTTTCGCTGTTGCCCAGGCTGGAGTGCAGTGGTGTGATGGCTCACAGCAACCTCTACCTCCCGGGTTCAAGCAATTATCCTGCCTTAGCCTCCCGAGTAGCTGGGTTACAGGCACCTGCCACCACACCCGGCTAATTTTTGTATTTTTAGTAGAGGATTTCACCATGCTGGCCAGACTGGTCTCAAACTCCTGACCTCAGGTGATCCACCCATCCCGGCCTCCCAAAGTGCAGGGATTACAGGCATGAGCCACTGAGCCCAGCCTAATTTATAACTTTTTTAGTAGAAATGAGGTCTCCCTATGTTGCCCAGGATGGTCTCAAACTCCTGGCCTCAAACAATCCTCCCACCTCAGTCTCCCAAAATGCTGGGATTATAGGCATGAGGCACCGCACCCAGCCTGCTCAGAGCTTTTAAATTAAATTACAGGCTGGGTGCGGTGGCTCAGGCCTGTAATCCCAGCACTTTGGGAGGCTGAAGTGGGCGGATCACAAGGTCAGGAGATCGAGACCATCCTAGCTAACACAGTGAAACCCCATCTCTACTAAAAATACAAAAAATTAGCTGGGCGTGGTGGCAGGCACTTGTAGTCCCAGCTACTCGGGAGGCCGAGGAAGGAGAATGGCATGAACCCAGGAGGTGGAGTTTACAATGAGCCGAGATCGCGCTACTGCACTCCAGCCTGGGCGACAGAGCAAGACTCTGTCTCAAAAAAACAAAACAAAACAAATACAAAATTAGCCGGGTGTAGTGGCGCATGCCTGTTATCCCAGCTACTTGGGAGGCTGAGGCAGGAGAATCGCTTAAACCCAGGAGGCAGAGGTTGCGTTGAGCCAAGATCGTGCCATTGCACTCCAGCCTGGGCAACAAGAGTGAAACTCCGTCTCAAAAAATTAAATTAAATTACATTAATTTTTTTTTTTTGAGTGCAATCTGGGCTCACTGCAGCCTCGATTTCCCAAGCTCAGGTGACTGTCCCATCTCAGCCTCCCGAGTAGCTGGGACTCCGGGGGGGCCACAACGCCCATTTAATTTTTCATTTTTATTTTTTCAAAATTATTATTTTTTTAGAGACAGGATTTATTTATTTATCACTCTGTTGCCCAAGCTGGAATACAGTGGCGTGATCTTAGCTCACTCTAACCTCTGCCTCCCAGTTTCAAGTGAGTTTTGTGCCTCAGCTTCCCAAGTAGCTGGGACTACAGGCGTGAGCCACCACGCCCAGCTAATTTATGGTTTGTTTGTTTGTTTTGAGACAGAGTTTCACTCTTGGTGCCAAGGCTGGAGTGCAATGGTGCGATCTTGGCTCACTGCAACCTCCACCTCCTGGGTTCAAGCGATTCTTCTGGCTCAGCCTCCCGAGTAGCTGGGATTACAGTCATGCGCCATCACACCCAGCTAATTTTGTATTTTTTGTGGAGATGGGGTTTCTCCATGTTGGTCAGGCTGGTCTCAAACTCCTGACCTCAGGTGATCCGCCTGCCTCGGCCTCCCAAAATGCTGGGATTACAGGTGTGAGCCACTGTGCCCGGCAATTAATGTATTTTTCTTAGAGACAGGGTTTCACCATGTTGGCCAGGCCGATCTCAAACTCCTGGACTCAAGCAATCCTCCTACCTCGGCCTCCAAATTTCTTGGATTACAGGCATGAGCCATGGTGCCCAGCCTGTTCAGGGCTATATATATATATATTTTTTTTTTGAGCAGTGTTTGGTTGTCTGGGTACAGGCTGAGCAGGTAGATAGTTTGACAGGTCTAGAAGCGGGGTGCGGCACTGAGGTAAAAGATGGGTAGCAGTTTTGGGGAGAGAGTAAGGATGTTGCGGTGAGCCGAGATCGCGCCATTGCACTCCAGCCTGGGCAGCAAGAGTGAAACATGGCTCTGGGTGGGATGGAGAGGGAAGAGACGGCGGGGGAGATGATAGACGTGGAGTTATAGGACATTTGTCATGTTCAATGGGGTTGAAGAGCAGGTACAGCGAGGGTAACTGGGGGAGTTGGAACCTGACAAAGTCTACTCAGAGAGTAGGATTCTGGAACCTTGAAAACTTCCTGATACAATATGTCCTATGTATCTCAGAGTCTCCAGCACCTACCACAGTGCCTGGCACTTACTAGATGTTCAATAGATCCTCAATGGATAAGTATTCCAGAGATGGAGTGTGGGTAATGACAAGATGCAGGATACAGTCCAGGCGCAGTGGCTCATGCCTGTAATCCCAGCACTTTGGGAGGCCAAAGCAGGTGGATCATCTGTGGTCAGGAGTTCGAGACCAGCCTGGCCAACATAGTGAAATCCTGTCTCTACTAAAAATACAAAAATTAACTGGGCGTGGTGGCACATGCCTGTAATCCCAGCTACTCGGGAGCCTGAGGCAGGAGAATCGCTTGAACCTGGGAGGCAGAGGTTGCAGTGAGCTGAGATCGCACCAGTGCACTCCAGCCGGTGCGACAGAGCGAGACTCCATCTGAAAAAAAAAGAAAAGATGCAGGGTGTGACCAGGGAAGTGGAGTGCCTGGACTGGAGGTGACAATCATGAGATAATTAATTCATTTATCCAACAAATATTTTGGGGGATCTACTATGTGGCAGGTGCTAAGCTAAGCAGGTGGTGGTGAGATGACAGAGACTAAAACAGTTTAACTTTGTTCTCTTGGTGCTTACAATCCACTGAAGAAAACCAATACTAAACTAACAATCATTCACGACTACATAATTACGACTGAAATCATTGCTTTGAAAGAAAAGCAAAGGGCCGGGCGCGGTGGCTCAAGCCTGTAATCCCAGCACTTTGGGAGGCCGAGGCGGGTGGATCACGAGGTCAGGAGATCGAGACCATCCTGGCTAACATGGTGAAACCCCGTCTCTACTAAAAATACAAAAAACTAGCCGGGCGTGGTGGCGGGCGCCTGTAGTCCCAGCTACTCGGAGGCTGAGGCAGGAGAATGGCGTGAACCTGGGAGGCGGAGCTTGCAGTGAGCCGAGATCACGCCACTGCACTCCAGTCTGGGTGACACAGCGCGAGACTCCGTCTCAAAAAAAAAAAAAAAAAAAAAAAAGAAAAGCAAAGGATGTGAGGCTCAGTGTGGTGGCTCACATCTGTAAGTCTAGCACTTTGGGAGGCTGAGGTGGGAAGATCGCTTGAGCCCAGTTTGAGACCAGCCTGAGCAACATAGAGACATCCTGTCTCTTAAAAAAAAAATAATTTGGCCGGGCACGGTGGCTCACGTCTGTAATCCCAGCACTTTGGGAGGCCAAGGCAGGTGGATCTCCGAGGACAGGAGTTTGAGACCAACCTGGCCAACATGGTGAAACCCTGTTTCACCCTTTTTAGTCTCTACTAAAACTACAAAAAAAATTAGCTGGGCATGTTGGCGGGCACCTATAATCTCAGGTACTTGGGAAGCTAAGGCAGGAGAATCGCTTGAACCTGGGAGGTGGAGGTTGCAGTGAGCCGAGATTGTGCCATTGCACTCCAGCTTGGGCAACAAGAGTGAAACTCCATGTCAATAATAATAATAATAATTTAAAAAAATAAAAAATTAGCCCGGTGTGGTAGTGCATGCCTAGAGTCCCGGCTATTCAGGAGGCTGGAGCAGGAGGATGGCTTGAGCTTAGGAGTTCAAGGTTGCAGTGAGCTATGGTCATGCCACTGCACTCCAGGTTGGGTGACAGAGCAAGACCCTATCTCCAAAAAAAGAAAAGAAAAGGGGCCGGGCGCTGTGGCTCACACCTGTAATCCCAGCATTTTGGGAGGTGAAGGTGGGCTGATCGCCTGAGGCCAGGAGTTCAAGACCAGCCTGGCCAACATGCCAAAACCCTGTCTCTACTAAAAAAATACAAAACTAGCTGAGTGTGGTGGTGGGCGCCTGTGGTCCTAGCTACTCAGGAGGCTGAGGCAGGAGAATCACTTGAACCCAGGAGACAGAGGTTGCAGTGAGCCGAGGTTGCACCACTACACTCCAACCTGGGCGACAGAGTGAGACTGCGCCTCAAAAAAAAAAAGAAAAAGAGAAAAAAAGAAAAAGAAAGAAAGAGAAAGAGAGAGAGAGAAAGAAAGAAAGAAAGAGAGAGAGAGAAAGAAAGAAAGAGAGAGAGAAAAGGGTGTAAGGAAAGACTATAACCAGGGTCCTGATTTAGACTGCAGTTCAGGGAAGGCTTCCTTGAGGAACTGACGAGTCCAAACTGACAGGATGAGTAATTTGCCAGGCAAAGAGACTGTGGAAAAAATATTCAGGTCAAGAGTCACCACTTGCGAAGGGTCTGAAATGGAAGACGGTGGCCTCTTGGAGGAAGGGAAAGACGGTCCACGTGGCCGGTGAGGTGGATGTAGCTCAGGCCCTAAAGGGCCTTACTGGCTACTTTAACTGTTTTGAATTTCATTCTAAGAGGAAAGAGAGAGAACTGGAGTGTTTTGAACAATATAGTATCATTAGATTGGAGGGATTTTTTTTTTAAGGTTGGGTGTAAAGAATGGAGTTGATTGTACTCATGAGACCATAATACAGTGTACGCATTGGTCGGTGAAAGGACCTTCCTTTCCCATTAATTTTCCTGCCTCATCTCTGAGTGATCCTCCCCACTCCCCTCCCCATAAGTACCTCATCTCATGCTTTTGATGTGTGCCTTTAAATATACATATGAGGCGGGTCGCAGTGGTTCATGCCTGTAGTCCCAACACTTTGGGAGGATCACTTAAGGCCAGGAGTTCAAGACCAGCTTGGGAAACATAGCAAGACTTCCTATCTACAAAAAATTTTTTAAAATCAGTGGTTGGTGGCGTACACCTGTAGTCCCAGCTGCTCAAGGAGGCTGAGGCAGGAGGATGGCTTGAGCCCAGGAACCAGTGATTCCCCTGGGTACCTTGGTGTAAAGTGTCTCCATGAGGCCCACTTGGAGGATAGGGGAGATGAGGAGGGTCTCTGCCTGCCCAGTTAGCTTTTTTGAAGAAAAGTGTTTGGGTGTCTGGTGTGTGTGTGTGTGTGTGTTGACGTGGGAGGGAGCGGGGTTAGGGGGAGACAGTTTGGCTTGAGCCGGGAAGAACCTACAGGATGATGGGCAGGACTCCCAGCTATAGGAAGTCAGGTTTTAAGCAGAGGGAGGTCTTGAGATTCTCGGGGGCCGCCCTGGTAGTGATGGGAGAAAATGGGTCTGTGGAGGGCCCTGCACGGTGGCTCACGCCTGTAATGCCAATACTTTGGGAGGCCGAGCCGGGCAGATCACCTGAGGTCAGGAGTTCAAGACCAGCCTGGTCAACATGGTGAAACCCGTCTGTACTAAAAATACAAAAATTAGGCGGACATGATGGCACCTGCCTGTAATCCCAGATAGGAGGGAGGCCGAGGCAGGAAAATGGCTTGAGCCAGGAAGGCAGAGGTTACAGAGAGCAAGAGTGGGCCACTGCACTCCAGCCTGGGCGACAGAGGGAGACTCAGACTCAAAAAAAAAAAAAAAAAAAAAATAGCGTCCACAGGGAGCGCTCTTTTCCTAAACTCAGGAACCCCTCGCTGCCCCTGACCCTGGAGACCCCACGTCTCTGGCATCCTTCCCTCTTCCCTCCCTCTCCTCCGGGCACTCAGAAAAGTCCCCACCTCTCCCCGCTTAGGCAAACCAGCCTTCGGGAACGGGTGGCAGGCTCGGCCGGGATGGCTGCTCTGACTCAGGATATCCGCGCGGCGCTCTCCCGCCAGAAGCTGGACCACGTGTGGACCGACACGCACTACGTGGGGCTGCAATTCCCGGACCCGTGAGTGGGCGCGGGCGGGGGCCGCGCGGGAGGGGGACGCGGCTTGGGGCGCTCACCAGCCCCGCTCCCCAGGGCTCACCCCAACACCCTGCACTGGGTCGATGAGGCCGGGAAGATCGGAGAGCAGCTGCCGCTAGAGGACCCTGACGTCTACTGCCCCTACAGCGCCATCGGCAACGTCACGGTGAGCCCCTCTTGCCGGCTCATAGGATGGGGCGCGGCACGAGCCCTTTCCTGGGTCTCGGAGTTGGGACGCGGGGAGCGTGCCTCACCGTCCTCTTGTCCACAGGGAGAGCTGGTGTACGCCCACTACGGGCGGCCCGAAGACCTGCAGGACCTGCGGGCCAGGGGCGTGGACCCAGCGGGCCGCCTGCTGCTAGTGCGCGTGGGGGTGATCAGCTTCGCCCAGAAGGTAAGTGCCCCTGGACAGAGTGAGGGCGTGGGCCTGGGAACCAGAGGGTCGGACTGCCAGTGAGAATGGTTCAGGGTGCTGTGAGAAGGAGACAGGAAAGAAACATGTGGATGGTAAGAAAATATAAGCTGGGAACAATGGTTCTCACCTGCAATCCCAGTACTTTAGGAGGCCAAGACAGGAGGATCGCTTGAGGCCAGGAGTTCAAGGGCAACACAGTGAGATCCCCCTCTCTACTAAAAAAAAAGAAAAAAAAGAAAAAAAAATTCTTTATTTTATTTTATTTTATTTTAGTTAGCTGGGCTGGTGGCACGTGCCTGTGGTCCCAGCTACTCTGGAGGCTGGGGTGGGAGGATCGCTTGACCCCAGGAGTTCCAGGCTGCAGTGAGCTATGATCGCACCACTGCACTCCAGCCTGGGCAACAGAAAGGATTCTGTCTCAAAAAGAAAAAAAAAAGAAAGAGAAACCGAGAAGGGAGGGAGGGAGGGAGGGAGGAAGGAAAGAAGGAAAATGTTGGCTGGTCTGGGAACTGAATCAGAAGGAAAAAAAAATTTGGCTGGGAACAAATTGGGGGTTGGGGGAAATCAGATGGGGAAGGGAACAGGAATATGGGGTACCATGGGGCCCGGTGGGGTTTGAGGGCTGCCCAGGAGCTGCTGAGGTTGGGAAAACACAGGCCAGGTGGTGGCCCCACACCCTCTCCGTGGGATGGACAGTTGCAAGCAAAAGCCTTGCCATTTGCTGGTTTCTCCTGCCCTTATGAATCTGGTTTTTTTCTGGGAGAAGGAGTCCTCTAGTCACCTTCCTCCCCAGGTGACCAATGCTCAGGACTTTGGGGCTCAAGGAGTGCTCATATACCCAGAGCCAGCGGACTTCTCCCAGGACCCACACAAGCCAAGCCTGTCCAGCCAGCAGGCTGTGTACGGACATGTGAGTCTGGGGAGGCTGGCCCTGCGGTTCCTGGGTCCCGAGGCCACACCTTCTTGCTCAGAATGGGGCTGGCATGTTTTTCATTTTTCCTGAAAGCCCAACTCACAGCTTTGCGTGGGCACCCCTTTCCCCGCAGGTGCACCTGGGAACTGGAGACCCCTACACGCCTGGCTTCCCTTCCTTCAATCAAACCCAGTTCCCTCCAGTTGCATCATCGGGCCTTCCCAGCATCCCAGCCCAGCCCATCAGTGCAGACATTGCCTCCCGCCTGCTGAGGTGAGGGGAGTATTGGGGACCAGGAGAGGAGGAGGCAGAGAGAGGGAGGCTGCAGCGAGGCCACAGGGTGACTGTGGGTGAACTAGAAAAAGGTGACTCTTGTTTAAGGCTGCAGTGAACCATGATTACACCACTGCACTCCAGCCTGGGAGACAGAGAGACCCTGACCTTCTTCTTCTTCTTTTTTATTTTTTTTGAGATGGAGTCTTGTTCTGTCATCCAGGCTGGAGTATAGTGGTGCAATCTTGGCTCACTGCAACCTCCACCTCCCGGGTTCAAGTGATTCTCCTGCGTCAGCCTCCCGAGTAGCTGGGATTACAGGCGTGCACCACCACACCAGGCTAATTTTTGTACTTTTAGTAGAGAATTTAACCCTGCTGGCCAGACTGGTCTCAAACTCCTGATCTAGTGATCCGCTTGCTTCGGCCTCCCAAAATTCTGGGATTACAGGTGTGAGCCACCACGCCTGGCCAAGACCCTGACTCTTAAGAAAAAAAAAAAGTGACTCTTCTGGACAGACACGGCCTTTCTCCAGGGTTCACTGTCTGGCAACTGAAGTTCCCACTGGATTGCACACCTACCTCAGCTGAGAACCGTCCAAGGCAGCCCTGACTGCACTGCCCTGCCTAGGCAGGGTCCAGAGGCAGCAATCTGGAGCCAGAAAGGGTGGGAAGGAAAGAAAGAAGGAAGAGAGTGATTTGAACTCTTCTGGGTCTCTCTACAACTTCCAACCCTTTCTGCCTTCCTCCTCTCCAGGAAGCTCAAAGGCCCTGTGGCCCCCCAGGAATGGCAGGGGAGCCTCCTAGGCTCCCCTTATCACCTGGGCCCCGGGCCAGGACTGCGGCTAGCGGTCAACAACCACAGGACCTCCACCCCCATCAACAACATCTTTGGCTGCATCGAAGGCCACTCAGAGCCAGGTATGCTGTGTGTCCAGTATCACTCACAGCTTGTGGTGGGTTGGGGGGAATTTCTGCCCATACATTCTGGCAAGATAGGGGGCTGGTGCAGGAGGCCCCAAGAGGGGACAGGAGTGGTGCCCAGAGGAGGGAAGCTGACGAGTTGAGGCTGAACTGGGTCTGATGGTGGCAGCAGTGAAGAGACCTCACCTTCCAGCCTGTCTAGTGATGGAATGGGGGTTGTTGCCCAGTAGTGAGCTCCCCAGCACTGGAAGTGAGCAAGCCTAAGTTGGATGATGTTGTAATAGAAACTCAAGCAAAGGCCGGGTGTGGTAGCTCACGCCTGTAATCCCAGCACTTTGGGAGGCTGAGGCGGGTGGATCACTTAAGGTCAGGAGTTCGAGACCAGTTTGGCCAACATGGTGAAACCCCGTCTCTACTAAAAATACAAACATTAGCTGGGTGTGGTGGCACGTGTCTGTAATCCCAGCTACTCCAGAGGCTTGGACAAAAGAATCGCTTGAACCCTGGAGGTGGAGGTTGCAGTGAGCCGAGATTGTGCCATTGCACTCCAACCTGGGCAACAGAGCAAGACTTTGTCTCAAAAAAAGAAAAGAAAGAAAGAAGAAAGAGAGAAAGAGAAAGAAAAAGAAAGAAAGACAAAAAGAGAGAAAGAAAGAAAGAGAGAAAGAAAGAAAGAAAGAAAGAAAGAAAGAGAAAGAAAGAAAGGAAGAAAAAGAAAGGAAGGAAGGGAAGAAAGGGAAGGAAGGAAGGAGGGAAGAAAGGGAAGGAAGGAAGAAGGAAGGAAGGAAGGAAGGAAGGAAGGAAGGCACTCAAGCATGAAAGAGAGATCAGATCAGTTTAGATAGGACAGATGGCCCTTTCAAGCGTAGCTGGGCGTGGATGGCAGTGGAGAATCAAAGCAGGTAATTGAAGATGGGGCAACAAAGCCAAGACTCTGTCTTCACAAAATATTTAAAAATAAAAGAAATTGGCAGGGTGCAGTGGCTCGAGCCTGTAATCCAGCACTTTGGGAGGCTGAGGCGGGTGGATCATGAGGTCAGGAGATAGAGACCATCCTGGCTAACACAGTGAAACCCCATCTCTACTAAAAATACAAAAAAATTAGCCGGGCATGGTGGTGGGCACCTGTAGTCCCAGCTACTCGGGAGGCTGAGGCAGGAGAACGGCATGAACCCGGGAGATGGAGCTTACCGTGAGCCAAGATCGCGCCACTGCACTCCAGCCTGGAAAACAGAGTGAGACTCCGTCTCAAAATAAATAAATAAATAAACAAACAAACAAACAAACAAAAGAACTTAGCCGAGCATGGTGGCACACATCTGTGGTCCCAGCTACTTGGAAGGCTCAGGCAGGAGGATGGCTTGAACCAGGGAGTTTGAAGCTGCAGTGAGCTATGATCGCATCACTGCACACTCCAGCCTGGGTGACAGAAATCCTCTAAGTCCAGAATGACTGCAGGCACCCAGGTGAAGGAGTGTGCCATCTAGGGAGGGCCAAGAGGGGAGAGGTGCCCTCTTTAGGGACTGGAGGGACTACAGGGCTGGGGTTGCCCAAATGTGATGGGCTGAGAGATACAGGCTGATAGAGGATGCCCCCAGGGTACAGGGGGTAGACTTTGGGTACTGCCAGTGTCAGAAGTGTGTCCCAAACATCCCCTCCCCAGATCACTATGTTGTCATCGGGGCCCAGAGGGATGCGTGGGGCCCAGGAGCAGCTAAATCCGCTGTGGGGACAGCTATACTCCTGGAGCTGGTGCGGACCTTTTCCTCCATGGTGAGCAACGGTAAGGTCAGGGTCAGGGCCTGGGCCTGGGCTAGGCAGCGGTGGACCTGTGACCCGAGGAGGATAGGGTAGAGAGGCAGTGAGGGACACAGACTGGCCAGTGGTCAGTTGGACCTCGGCATCCACATTGTACCTGAGTGGCCCTGGGCCAGTCACTTCACCTATATTTCCTCACCTAAAATGAAAGTGAGGCCGGGTATGGTGGCTCACGTCTGTAGTCCCAGCACTTTGGGAGGCCGAGGCAGACGGATCACCTGAGGTCAGGAGTTCGAGACCAGCCTGGCCAACATAGTGAAACCCTCTACTAAAAATACAAAAATTAGGCAGGTGTGGTGGAGGGCGCCTGTAATCCCAGCTACCAGGGAGGCTGAGGCAGGAGAATCGCTTGAACCTGGGAGGCGGAGTTTGCAGTAAGCCAAGATCGCACCACTGCACTCCAGCCTGGGCAACCGAATGAGCCTCCGAAAGAAAGAGAGAGAGAGAGAGAGAGAGAGAGAGAAAGAAAAGAAAGAGAAAACAAAGAAAAGAAAAAAGTGATATGAATGATAATCATAGTCCATGGGTCTGTGTCAAGATTAAGCATGTTGGGTTGGACATGATGGCTCATGCCTGTAATTCCAGCACTTTGGGAGGTCAACGCAGGAGAATCACTGGAGGCCAGGAGTTCAAAATCAGCCTGGGCCACATAGGGGGACTGCATCTCTACAAAAAAAAATTTTTTTTAATTGGCTGGACTTAGTGGTGCATGCCTGTAATCCCAGCTACTTAGGAGCCTGAGGCGAGAGGGTCACTTGAACCTGAGAGGTCAAGGCTTCATTGAGCCATGATTGCACCACTGCACTCCAGCCTGGGCGAGAGAGTGAGACCCTATCTCAGAGAGAGAGACAGAGAAGCAGAGACCCTGGGGGATCAGGGCAGAAGAAGACAAAGAGAGGGCCTTTGCTTGGCCTATGCTAAGCCTGTCCTTCCCCTCTGCCCCCAGGCTTCCGGCCCCGCAGAAGTCTCCTCTTCATCAGCTGGGATGGCGGTGACTTTGGAAGTGTGGGCTCCACAGAGTGGCTAGAGGTGATGTGGGGTCCTGGGCAGGTCGTTAGGCAGTGGGGAGAGGTGGGGGCGGTGGATTCCCACTCCACACTGGTCACCCACCCACAGGGCTACCTCAGCGTGCTGCACCTCAAAGCCGTAGTGTACGTGAGCCTGGACAACGCAGTGCTGGGTGAGCCGGGGCAGTGTCACCACCTGGCCCCCTAGGGTCCACCCTTGCCTTTGGGGCTAAGCCCTGAGCCTGGCATCCCTCCCCTCCCCTTTTTCCAGGGAATGACAAGTTTCGTGCCAAGACCAGCCCCCTTCTGACAAGTCTCATTGAGAGTGTCCTGAAGCAGGCAAGAGTACCCCAGGAATAGAGGGTGAAGGGGAGTAGGTTGGGGGGAGGAGCAGAGCGTGATCAGTGCCCTCCCCCCAACCCCAGGTGGATTCTCCCAACCACAGCGGGCAGACTCTCTATGAACAGGTGGTGTTCACCAATCCCAGCTGGGATGCTGAGGTGTAAGTTGTGGGGGTAGGGAGAGCTGGGGAGAGATGTGGGGGAGCCTGAACCCACAGATCCCTCCAACCTGCCTGCCCCCAGGATTCGGCCACTACCCATGGACAGCAGTGCATATTCCTTCACGGCCTTTGTGGGAGTCCCTGCCGTTGAGTTCTCTTTCGTGGAGGTGAGACGTCCTCCCCCTGCCCCAGACACAGCGCTAGTCTCTCAGCCTGTCTGCCTCTGCCCCAGCGTCCACCCTGTCCTGGCAGGACGACCAGGCCTACCCGTTCCTGCACACAAAGGAGGACACTTATGAGAATCTGCATAAAGTGTTGCAAGGCCGCCTGCCCGCCGTGGCCCAGGCCGTGGCCCAGCTCGCAGGGCAGCTCCTCATCCGGCTCAGCCACGATCGCCTGCTGCCCCTCGACTTCGGCCGCTACGGGGACGTCGTCCTTAGGCACATCGGGAACCTCAACGAGTTCTCTGGGGACCTCAAGGTTCAAGAGGCCCACCCTGCTCTTGGCCTCTGGGAGTGGGAGGCACTGCCCAGGCCAGGGGATCCGGCCCCTTCTCTCTGCAGTCCCTGGGGTCTAGGTCCTCTCTGGCAATCCAGCCCTTTAACCCCCTGCCTCCAGTCTCCCAGCCCCCAGCACGTGCCATCTCCCAACCTGGCAGGTGCAGGATCTTCTCCCCACTCCCTTCATCCACCCTCAGCACTCTGTCCTCGTCTACCTCCTCCCTCCTGCCAGGTCTAGCCCCCTCCCCCATGCTAGGCGGGGGCCCTTGTCACCACGCTAGGCGCGGGTTCTGGCCCCTGCCGCCAGCCCCAGCCCGCGCCTCCGCCCCCAGGCCCGAGGGCTGACCCTGCAGTGGGTGTACTCCGCGCGGGGGGACTACATCCGGGCGGCGGAGAAGCTGCGGCAGGAGATCTACAGCTCGGAGGAGAGAGACGAGCGACTGACACGCATGTACAACGTGCGCATAATGCGGGTGAGGCCCCGCCCCTCTCGCCCCGCCCCCAGTGTCCTGCCCCTCCCCTGGGGCTCCGCCTCCCGGACCTGGCCCGGTCTGCGAGCTCCTCTCTCTCCCCGCCTACACAGTCCCGGTCCTCTGGGTGCTCTCTTCCCAGTCCTGGAAGCGCAGTGCTCATAGATCGGTCAGGCTGGAGGACCCGAGCGATCAAAGTGATGAAATGGATAGGGAAGGCCAGCCCTTTAGCCACAGTAGCCTGGTTTACGCCTGGCAGAATTGGGACAACTTACCCTCCCTCACCCCTCCTCGCTGACTCCGCTCCTATAGCTCCCACTGCCTCCTCGACCCTTCTGGAAAGAAAAAGCATGTCCACACTTGTCCACAGTATAAGGTTACAGACTGGGAAGTGCAAAACGCTAAAGATATTCAGGGTATAGAGAGTTGTTTTCCTTCTGGCAATGAAATGGGTGAAATCCAGAAAGGCTGCCTGGAGGAGGTGTCAGGTGAAAGTTAAGAGCTTATTCCTTCACCAATCCCTTCTGCTTAGCTTTGAATCCTTTGCAGCCCGCACCCCACCTCCAGTTCCAACTCCTCCTCTTCCTTGCATTTCCTCACTCCAAGAACTCAACCCCTCAACCCTTTGATCTCAAGAAATGGGTGAGTAGGGACTGTGGCCATGGGGAAAGGTCTGTAGGGCAAAATAGTAAACAGGATAGTCTTCAGTGAGTGTGGGATGAGCTGGGAACTGCAGTGTACACAGAGTCACGTGTGCACATGTACTCACGGTTTTCAGAGTGAGCATGGCTACCCCTTGGAGGCTCATGTTCTCTCTCCTCCTTGCATTTTCCTGCTTGTGCCCTCTGCCTGTCCCCCTTGACCATTTACAAACCTATTGCTCTTGCTCATTCTCCCTTGCCCAGACTAGAGTGCAGTGGCACCATCTCTGCTCACTGCAACCTCCACCTCCTGGGCTCAAGCGATCCTCCCACCTCAACCTCCCTAGTAGCTGGGAGTACAGGCACATGCCACGACGGCTGGCTAATTTTTGTATTTTTTGTAGAGACAGGGTTTTACCGTATTGCCCAGGCTGGTCTCAAACTCCTGGCCTCAAGTGATCCTCCCACCTTGGCCTTCCAAATTGCTGGGGTTACAGGCGGTGAGCCACTGCATCTGGCCTTCTCCTCTCCTTCTTATATCTCTCTCTCTATTCACTCTTCTTTTCTCTTTGTCTCCTCTACTGTGACACGGGTGACCCTGGGGTGAGGCAATAGATTGGATATGGTTCATTCTCATTCACAGATCTTGGTTTAACCTCAGCTGTGTCAGCATCCAGAAGACAAAAAGACACCCTCTTTTCAAAGTTGCCATACCCCTGTCCCCACCAGGGATAAAAGGGACCTGTGTGTTAGACGCAAGACTTAGGCCAGGCACAGTGGCTTATGTCTGTAATCCCAGCACTTTGGGAGGCCAAGGTGGGTGGATCATCTGAGGTCAGGAGTTCGAGAACAGCCTGACTAACATGGAGAAACCCTGTCTCTACTAAAAATACAAAATTAGCCAGGCCTGGTGGTGCATGCTTGTAACCCCAGCTACTCAGGAGGCTGAGGCAGGAGAATCGCTTCAGCCCGGGAGAGATAGGTTGCGGTGAGCCGAGATCGCGCCATTGCACTCCAGCCTGGGCAACAAGAGCGAAACTCCGTCTCAAAAAAAAAAAAAATGCATTACTCAGGCCAGGCTCAGGGATGGAGAGGGAAGGACTCAGGACTTCAGAGCCTGCAATAGGGTTGGGTCAGACCCAGTGAATTTTGTGATTCTAGACCAGGGATTGGTGAACTACTGCCATTGGCCAAATTGAAACTGCTGCTTGTTTTTTGTTTTTTGTTTTTTCTGAGACAAGGTCTCACTCTGTTGCCCAGGCTGGAGTACAGTAGCATGATCTGGGCTCACTGCAACCTCCGCCTCCCGGGCTCAAACAATCCTCCCACCTCACCTCAGCCTCCTGAGTAGCTGGGACTGTGAGGACACACCACCACACTCCGCTAATTTTTAAATTTTTTGTAGAGATGGGATCTCATGATATTGTCCAGGCTGGTCTCGAAATCCTGGGCTCAAGCGACTCTCCCACCTCAGCTTCCCAAAGTGCTGGGATTACAGGCGTGAACCTCTGCTGCCTGTTTTTATAAATAAAGTTTTATTGAAACATGGCCATACTCATTGGTTTTCATACTCTCTATGGCTACTTCTGTGTAATAGCAGCAACGTTAAGTAGCTGCAATAAAAGCAGCATATTTAGGCCAGCAAAGCCTAAAATATTTACTATCTGGCATTTCGCAGAAAAAGTTTGCTGACCTTGGCTTTAGACTGTGACTTGGATCTTGAAGAACAGGCAGGACGTGGGTTGATGCAAAGTAAAGAGGACATTTCAGGGTGGAGAGACCCAGAATTTGGGTGTGACAGTGAAATCAGTCTGGTTTTACTTGGTAGCAGGGTGTGGACCAGCAGAGCCAGAACAGGGGCCCCATGGAGAGGCAGAGGGGAGGGAAGCACCAAATGGGGTTATCAATCAACCGTGGGGAGCCTCGAACACCAGGGTTAGAAGTTTGGATGTTAAGGGTGTTAGCATCAAGGAAATTAGGGAGGTTTTTGAGCAGAGAGGTGATGTGAGCAAAGGGGAGTTTTTATTTTTATTTATTTTTCTTTATTTGTTTTTTGGAGACAGTATCTTACTGCTGCCCAGACTGGAGTGCAGTGGTGCGATCCCCGCTCACTGCAATCTCTGCCTGTCAGGTTCAAGCGATTCTCCCACTTCAGCCTCCTGAGTAATTGGGACTACAGGCACGCACAACCATGCCTGGCTGTTTTTTGTTTTTGTTTTGGTTTTGGTTTTTTTTGGTAGAGAAGGGGTTTCATCATGTTGGCCAGGCTGGTCTCAAACTCCTGACCTCAAGTGATCTGCTCACCTCAGCCTCCCAAAGTGCTGGGATTACAGGCATGAGCTACTGCGCCCGGCTGGGAGTTTTTGTTTTTCTGTTTTTCTTTTTTTTTTTTTTTTTTTTTTTGAGACGGAGTCTCGCTCTGTCGCCCAGGCTGGAGTGCAGTGGCGCGATCTCGGCTCACTGCAAGCTCCGCCTTTTGGATTCAAGCGACTGGGTGAGGAAGGAAGACTAAGGAGAACTACATGTAGGCTTAGGGGTTCTAGAGATAGAAAGAAGGGGAGGCCTGGCTCGGCGGCTCATGCCTGTAATCCCAGCACTTTGGGAGGCCGAGGCAGGTGGATCACGTGAGGTCGGGAGTTCGAGACCAACCTGGCCAACATGGTGAAACCCCCGTCTCTACTAAAAACACAAAAATTAGCTGGGCGTGGTGACGATCGCTTGAACCCGGGAGGTGGAGATTGCAGTGAGCTGAGATCGCGCCATTGCACTCCAGCCTGGGCGACACAGCGAGTCTCCATCTCGAAAAAAAAAAAGCAAGAAAAGAAAAAACAAGTAAAAGAAAAAGCACAACTGGTGCAGTTTTGTTACAGGTATAGTAATTATGCAAATAAAGCAAAAAGAAAAAGAAAAACAGAAGAGAAGCCCAGCTGGTGAACATATCCTACCTAGCCACTGGTGACGTCACAGGATGGCTATTCCTGATTGGGCAGCCAAAGGGAGGTGGGACTTAAGGACGCTTTCAACTCGTATTTATTCAGCAGGTAGTAGGTCCCAGGCTAGATTAGAAAATCGCCTGTAATCCCCGTATTTTTGGAGGCCGAGGCGGGCGGGTCACTTCAGGTTAGGAATTCGAGACCAGCCTGGCCAACATGACGAAACCCCGTCTCTACTCGAAACACAAAAATTAGCCGGGCGTGGTGGCGGGCGCCTGTAATCCCAGCTACTCTGGAGGCTGAGGCAGGAAAATAACTTGAACCCCGAAGGTTGCAGTGAGCTGAGATCGCGCCACTGCGCTCCAGCCTGGGCGACAGAGCGAGACTCGGTCTCAAAAAAAAAAAAAAAAGAAAAGAAAAAAAAAGAAAACAGAAAAAAACAAAAAGGCTGACTGGCGGGAAGTGCGATTCGGGCCTTTGCTCCAGAGCCTGAGCCCCCCACCCTGACCTGATCCCCCACTCTGCGCAGGTGGAGTTCTACTTCCTTTCCCAGTACGTGTCGCCGGCCGACTCCCCGTTCCGCCACATCTTCATGGGCCGCGGAGACCACACGCTGGGCGCCCTGTTGGACCACCTGCGGCTGCTGCGCTCCAACAGCTCCGGGACCCCCGGGGCCACCTCCTCCGCCGTCTTCCAGGAGAGTCGCTTCCGGCGTCAGCTAGCCCTGCTCACCTGGACGCTGCAAGGGGCAGCCAATGCGCTTAGCGGGGACGTCTGGAACATTGATAACAACTTCTGAGACCCTGGGGATCCTCAGATCCCCCTGTCCCCTTGTCGAGAGCTCCTCTGCTCCTCGCTTCAATGATTCAGGGTCAGGGAGGTGGCTCAGAGTCCACCTCTCATTGCTGATCGATTTCTCATTACCCCTACACGTCTCTCCACGGAGCCCAGACTGCAGCACAGATATCCACACACCCCAGCCCTGCAGTGTAGCTGACTCTAATGTGATGGTCATACTGTCGGTTAATCAGAGAGCAGTATCCCTTCAATCACAACCCCTTCGCCTTTCTGGGGTCCTCCATACCTAGAGACTAGGCCTTGGGACCTGGCCAGCTCTCTTAGTGGGAGAGATCGCTGGCACCATAGCCTTATGGCCAACAGGTGGTCTGTGGTGAAAGGGGCATGGAGTTTCAATGTCAATAAACCACCTGATGTCAATAAACCATCTGGTGACATCTGTTATTGATAAGTGCCTTCATGCTTCTTCCTCACCCTCATGCCCATCCCATCCCATCATCCCTTCCTGGAGACCTAGGAAAGGATTAGGCAGAAGGGACCAGAGAGGGTGCACACAGGAACGCTGTCTCCATGGGGAAAACTGAGCTGTTTCTATCACTTAAGGAAACTGCCTAAGGAAATATTGAAGGCCCTTTCTCCAAAGACCACCATAAAGCAGGTGGTCTTTGGAGAAGGGGCCTTCAGTATCCTTTTTTGTTTTTGAGACACAGTCTCACTCTGTAACCCAAGCTGGAGTGCAGTGGCACAATCTCGGCCCACTGCAACATCTGCCTTCCGGGCTCAAGCGATCCTCCTGCCTCAGCCTCCCGAGTAGCTGGAACTACAGGTGTGCACCACCATGCCTGGCTATTTTTTGTTTTTATTTTAGTAGAGACGGGAGTTCCACCATGTTGCCCAGGGTGGTCTTGAACTCCTGAGCTCAGGTGATCTGCCTGCCTCAACCTCCCGAAGTGCTGGGATTACAGGCATGAGCCACCACACCCGGCCAGTATCTTGTCCTGGGATGAGGAATGGTTACATAATTTGCAAGACCTGCTGCAAAATGAAAAGGCAGGACCCCTTGCTCAAAAGCAGAAAGAAGGCGGGAAGGTCATTTGAAGCCAGGAGTTCAAGACCAGCCTGGACAACATAAGGGAGAACCTGTCTCTACAAAAAATAAAAAACTTTAGCGGGGCATAGTGGTGTGTATCTGTAGTTCCAGCTACTCAGGAGGCTGAGGCAAGGCAGGGATAATTTGAGCCCAGGAATTTCAGGCTGCAGTGAGCTATGATCAATTCATTGCACTCCAATCTGGGTGACAGAATGAGACCTTGTCTTAAAAAAAAAAAAAAAAAAAAGACAAGAACAAAGCTTTGTTTTTGTTTTTGTTTTCTACAATTTCTCAACCTGTCATGGTATTCTTTTATTTGATATTTAATGTTGCACTCCCTTGGCCATGGGGACACACTTTCAAAACATAAATTCATGCTTGAACCCGGGAGGCAGAGGTTGCAGTGAGCCGCGATCATGCCACTGCACTCCAGCCTGGGTGACACAGCAAGACTCTGTCCCAGGGAAACAAAAATTATTAAGAATTTCAAGGCTGGCACAGTGGCTCATGCCTGTAATCTCAATACTTTGGGAAGCCAAGGTAGGCAGATTGCTTGAGCCTAGGAGTTCTGGAGCTGCCTGGGCAATATGGCAAAAACTTATCTCTACAAAAAGTAAAAAAATTAGCCGGGTGTGGTGGCACGCACCTGTAGTCCCAGCTACTCTAGGGTGCTGAGGTGGGAGAATTGCTTGAGCTTGGGAGGCGGAGGTTGCAGTGAACTGAGATCGTGCCACTGCACTCCAGCCTGGGCAACAGAGTGGGAGAGTGGAACCCTGTCTCAAAAAAAAAAAAAAAAAAAAAAAGAAAAAGAAAGAATTTCAACATAACAATCTCAGAGCATTAAACCCCAAGCATAGCGCCCCTTTCTGAGCATGGGGCCCTGTAAGACTCCAACAATGGTTACACACATTAGATGATTGGCCCTGCCTGGAACATCCTCCAGGATCTCCCCGCCCCCTTTTTCTTTTAGACGGAGTCTCGCACTGTCATCCAGGGTAGAGTACAGTGGCGCGATCTCGGCTCGTGATAACCTCTGATTCCCAGGTTCGAGCGATTCTCCTGCCTCAGCCTCCCTAGTAGCTAGGATTACAGGCGCCTGCCACCACGCCCAGCTAATTTTTTTTTTTTTTGTATTTTCAGTAGAGACGGGGTTTCTTGGCCAGGCTGGCCTCGAACTCCTGACCTTGTGATCTGCCCTCCTTGGCCTCCCAAAGTGCTGGGATTACAGGTGTGAGCCACTGTACCTAGCCAGGATCCCCGCTGACCAGTCTTTGTCCATTGAGGATGGAGACATTGAAGTGTAAGCTACCAGAGGTGGGAAATTCTAAGTGCTGGCACCATGTACCTTTAATCACAGCTTCAGGAGGCTGTGGTCCTGACAGCTCTTCAAGACACTGGGAAGTAAACGCCTCTTGGTGTAAGGCTTGGGATGCCACAGGGCTCTGGGTTTCAGGATGCAACTGTCCCCTCCTTAGCCCCCTAAGCTTGACTTCTTAGGTTCTCAGAACCCTGAATTAGGATCAGAGACCTCCTGAGCTATTTGCTTCCCTGACATACAGTCCAGACAAGTGTTCCAAAGCACTTTCTCAACGCTTCTTCACTTTGTCCATTGCTCCCTGTGGTAGACAGAATAATGATCTGGACAAAAATGTCCACATCCTAATCCCCAAAACCTGTGAATGAAGTTCCAAAAATGGACATTGCAGATGTGATCTTGAGATGAGTGAATTAAGGATCTTTTTGTTTGTTTGTTTGTTTGTTTCCTTACTTATGGGAAATTTTTAATTTGAATTCAGCCTCCAGAGTAGCTGGGACTGCAGATGTGAGCTACCACGCCCAGCTAAGTTTTTGTTTTGTAGAGATAGAGTCTCGCTATGTGGTCCAGGCTGGAGTGCGGTGCTGCAATTATAGCTTATTGCAGCCTCAAACACCTGGGTTCAAGAGATCCTCCCATCTCAGCCTCCTGAGTAGCTGCAACTGCCAAGTGTGAGCCACCATGCCCGGCTAATTAAAAAAAAAAAAAAATGCCAGGCGCAGTGGCTCATGCCTGTAATCCTAGCACTTTGGGAGGCCGAGGCGGGCCTGAGGTCAGGAGTTTGAGATCAGCCTGGCCAACATGGTGAAACCCTCTCTACTAATTATACAAAAATAAGTCAGAGGTGGTGGCGCACATCTGTATTCCTAGCTACCAGGAAGGCTGAGACAGGAGAATTGCTTGAACCCAGGAGGTGGAGGTTGCAGTGAGCCGAGATTGCACCACTGCACTCCAGCCTGGGTGACAGAGCAAGACTTTGTCTCAAAAAAAAAAAAAAAATTTTAGAGATGGGATCTTGCTATATTGTCCAGGCTAGTGTTGAACTTCTGGCCTCAAACTCTTCTCCTGCTCTGGCCTCTCAAAGCACTGGGATTACAGGTGGGAGCCCCTGCCCCCAGCCCTTCAGAAAGCCTTCTTGACCACACCAGTAACAAGGTCTTTTCACAAGTACTCACAGGACCATTAACCTATGTGGCACCTCAAATGCGTTTTGGGGACCTGGGCACATCCAGGCTGTTGTGAATGGATATCTTCCATACACATGTAATTTAGCAAAGAGGTTTCCTGGGCTATGGCAAGAGCTGTCCCCAGACTCCTGTTCACAAATGGCACACCCATTCTCCATGCAGTATCAGGGCCACACCCCACTGCAGCCAGCTCTGGGTGTGAGAGGTAGAAGACTCCCAGGGTAGTGGAGCAGGTCCCAGTGCCCCTAAACTAAAGCTGGAACAACTGATCACCTTCCAGTGCTCTGACAGCCTGGGTCTTAATAATATTATCTTGCTGATCTTTGTTCCCAGTCAACCATCTGCCCAGAGTCACTGGTTCTCCCTCCTTCTTTTTATTTTTTTGTAGAAACGGGGTCTTGCTATGTTGTCCAGGCTGGTCTTGAACCCCTGGGCTCAGGCAATCCTCCCACCTTGGCCTCTCAAAAGCACTGGGATTACAGATGTGAGCCACTGAGCCTGGCCACTCTCCCTCTTCCTCTGTTCCTCCTCACCCTGCACCTGAAGGAAGGCAGGTGAGCTGGAAGCCTGCCTTTTGTAAATCTTATTATTTTCCTGTACCTAGTTTTTTTGCTTGTTTTTTTGTTTTTGTTTTTGTTTTATTTTTGCCTGGTTAAGGTGAGGTTATGTCAGGCAATACTATTTCCCCCATATTGGTAGGGACTTTGGTGTTTCTCATCCATGTGAGTTGAAGTCTTCTTTTTCTTAGATGGAATCTTGCTCTGTTGCCCAGGCTGGAGCGCAATGGCACACTCTCGGCTCACTACAGCCTCCACCTCTCAGATTCAAACAATTATCTTACCTCAGTCTCCTGAGTAGCTGGGATTACAGGCGCCCACCACCATGTCCGGCTAATTTTTGTATTTTTAGAGACAAGATTTCACCATGTTGGGTATATTTTTTGTATTTTTAGAGACAAGATTTCACCCTGTTGGCTACGCTGGTCTCGAACTCCTGGCCTCAAGTGATCTACCCGCCTCAGCCCTGCAAAGTGCTGGGATTACAGGCTTGAGCCACTGCGCCTGGCCAAGGGAGTTGAAATCTTAAAGGACAGACAAAGGAAAACAGATATAGGGTCCAAAAGGCAGAAAAGGATTCTAGGAGTTGTAAACACCCAGGTAACCCTGGCGAGAGGCTTTGTTGCCTCCAGATGGTGGGACAGGAGTTCCACGGCAGGCAGGATTAGGTGGTATTTTCGTTCACTTCCTTTTAGGTTAGGTACATTGGCTTAGGGACAGGATCCTATTCCAGGGCTGAAGAGGATCTTGAGAATCAACTTGCTCAACGCCCTCATTTTGTAGGTAGAATCTGCAGCTCAGATAAATTAAATGATTTGCTCATGGTCACAGTTTTTCGATGCAAGCACCAGGAGTGACCCAAGTCTTCTAAATCCTCGCTGGGCCTCATCACGGCCCCAAGTGCCCAGGTCCCCTGGGAACAGGGGTGGGAGGAACTAGAGGATGTCTGAGTACCAAAAAAGAAGTGGGAAGACAGGCGCAAGTACCCTACATTTCTGATTTTCATTTTAAAAATGTATTTTATTCAGCTTGGAAAACGAGTACAAATCCCTGGGTGTTTTTTGTGGGGGAGGAGGGGGGGAGTAGGCAGGAAAGAGAAGAGGGTAGGAGGCAAGGCAAGGTATGAGCATCACAGTGGCTGCCTTAAGACCCTGCCCAGGGAGGGTGAGGTGGGGTGGGCTGGAGGTTGAGCAGGGAGCTCAGGTCCGGAGGAACACCATGGTGAGGAGGCCTGGAGGGGGGACAAAGAAAGAACAGGGTCGCATGGGCAGCCCTGGGACTCTTGTTAGCGCTCCTCCTGTCCCTTCTCCCTTTTTCCTGGGTCCTGGGTCCCCAGCCACTACTGTCCTCACCCAAGACGTAGGCGGCCACCAACTTTTGTCCCAGGGAGACGTGCAGGACTTGAGGCAGCTGGCTGCTGAGTTCGTCCTGGAGTGGGAGCAGCAGGAAGGCCACGGAGACAATCCCCGTCAGCAAGAAGAGGAGGAAGGAGCTGGTGGCCAGTTGCTGGCGGGGGTCTGAGAAACAAGATTCATCAGATGCTGCAGTCCCCACTCCTGCCCAGCCCAGGTCCTCCAGGGAGAAGCCTGAACAAGGAAGATGTATCTACTTTTGTTTTTTTTTTTAATTATCTTTTATTTTTTGTAGAGATGGAGTCTCATTACATTGCCCAGGCTGGTCTGGAACTCTTGGCTTCAAGTGATCCTCCTGCCTCAGCCTCCTGAGTAGCTGGGACTATGGGTTCATGCTACCATGCCTGGCTCATTTTTCAGTTGCTTGTAGAGGGTCTTGCTATGTTGCCCAAGCTGATCTTGAACTCCTGGCCTCAAGTAATCTTCCCACCACCTCAGCCTCCCAAAGCACTGGGATTATAGGTGTGAGCCACCACACCCTGTATCTACCTTTTTTTTTTTGAGATGGAGTCTCGCTCTGTTGCACCCAGGCTGGAGTGCAGCCACACAATCCTGACTCACTGCAGCCTCTGCCTCCTAGGTTCAAGTGATTCTCCTGCCTCAGCCTCCTGAGTAGCTGGGATTACAGTTGCGAGCCACCATGCCCAGCTAATTTTTTGTGTGTTTTTAGTAGAGACGGGGTTCCACCATGTTGGCCAGGCTGGTCTCAAACTGCTGGCCTCAGGTCATCAGCCCATCTCAGCCTCCCAAAGCAGTGGGATTATAGGCGTGAGCCACCATGCCCTGTATCTACTTTTTTTTTTTTGAGACAGAGTCTCGCTCTGTCGCCCAGGCTGGAGTGCAGTGGCTGGATCTCAGCTCACTGCAAGCTCCGCCTCCCAGGTTCACACCATTCTCCTGCCTCAGCCTCCCAAGTAGCTGGGACTACAGGCGCCCGCCACCACGCCCGGCTAGTTTTTTGTATTTTTTAGTAGAGACGGGGTTTCACCGTGTTAGCCAGGATGGTCTCGATCTCCTGACCTCGTGATCCGCCCGTCTCGGCCTCCCAAAGTGCTGGGATTACAGGCTTGAGCCACCACGCCCAGCTTGTATCTACTTTTTACTGCCCTCCAAGGGTACACTGCAAGTGTCCTCTCCTTCCTAGAGCCTCTGTCCCCACCACCACAAGAAACTCTCTCCTCTAGTCCCTTAGCATTCATTTTCTCTCTTCTGTGGACCTGACAGGCAGGGACCTCTCTTGATCTCAAACCCAGTACACAAGTTGGTACATAGTTAATTGCTCAATACAGGTTTCTTATTGAACTGAACTGAACTACCACACGATAGGAAGTACTGCGGTTACAGTCAAGGAAGAACTTTTTCCTCTAAGTAGAAGTCAGAAACCGAGGAAGCTGTAAGTCTTTTTCCCTCTCACCTGATATAAAATCTCAACTCGGAGGAATGTTTCCACCAAAAAACAAAAGACTGAACCAGGAGACTTACTCTTCAAATCCAGTTTATCTCATCTCTAGGGAGACGCTAGTTCCTGCCTCCCTACAGAACTCAAGATCCCCGTCTCCCAACTCACGTTCCTGGAAGTGTCTGGCCGTGGGTGGTGGTGTCCCAGCAGGAGGCCCTGGGTGAGGCGCTGGATCCGGCTGTCCCTGAAGCTCAAGGGGGTACGCTGGGGCTCTCAGAACAGAGGTAATGTCCTTGCGTCCCACCACGCGGCCCTCAGCTCCTTCCTCAGACAGCTCAATACGGAAGCGGTCCTGGACATCATAGTGGCTGGGAATGGGTGCCACATGGCGAATCACACTGGTCCCAAGGTAGGAGAGAAGCCCATTGGGGTGAAACGAGTGAGAGGCAGTAATCCTAGGAAATCTGAGCCTCCCCCCCAGAAGTCTCTCCTTTAGGGGCACAGACAGAGGGTAGGGCAAACAGGTTAAAGAGGGCAAGGTCTCAGACCTCAGACAACAGGTGGCAGCGACCTCTGGCTTCCATAAGCCTCCCCACCATCCCAGCTCACTCACATGTCAATGCAAGACTGAGGCTTCACATATCCCTCTGCGTCAAACACCGTGTATTTGGCAGGTGCTGTGCACAGGACTGGGGGACAGAGACACACACAGACAAGCCCTGCCATGTGGGTCATTTGAGTCCCCTCTGCCTTCTGCCCCGCAGGCTGGACATGACTTTCCCAGTCCACCAAAGCTGGACGTCCAACCCTACCCATCTGACTCCTCCAGCCAACACAGCCCCCCAGTGCCCGGCCACCAGCCCCCAGATCCCTTGCACGAGGCGCCGATCCCTTTACCTCGGAATCGAAGCGCAGTTCCTGTGGGGTTATAGAGGGTCAGCAGCTGTCGGGGTCCGCTCCGCTGGTCCGCCCTGAATACTAGATCCGGGGGAAAGACCAGAACCGGGACAACGGGTCCCAAGGGAGGAGGGGCGCCCCGGGACCCCCGCCCAGGGGGCCCCGGACCCACCAGCTCCTGGTCCTGGGGCGCCCCACGGCGCATGCAGGCTCCGGGCGGTCGGACATCCGAGGGCAGAGCTTAGGGGACAGGGCCTAGAGTCGAGAGCTGGGGGGCGTGAGGGGCGAAAGGGGACAAGATGAGCTCCCGGGCCAGGGCCTGGACTGACGCCGCCGCCGCCTCGGAATCCCGCTAGATGGGACTCCCGCAGACCCAGGCCCAGGGCCCCCAAGACCTTCCCTCTTCCAGCTCTGCCCCAGGTTCCTTCGGACCCGCCAAGCCCCACCTCGACGGCCACGCCCACCCCGCTAAACCCGGCCCCTCGCAGCTCCCAACCCGGTCTTCTCCTCAGGCCCAGCTCGCGATCTCCATAAGCCCCGCCCCGCCGCTGGCCTCGCCCCTTCCGGGCGTTTCCGGACGCCCTCCTCCTCTCTCTGGCCAAACTCCGCGGGCTGCAGCGGCCTCCCGTGGAGCTACCTGTGACGCCTCCTGCTTCCTGGGAGACCTGTGTTTGTGTCTCCGGCCCCTCCCTAATCTCGGACACGGGCCCCGTCGGGCTTCTGCCTCAAAACGGCGGCTTGCGCTAGGATGCCTGCCTTGTGATCAAAGCACCTGACAGTCAGCTTGTGGTCAGACTAATGATGCCATGTTCCCGGGAGTCCTTTTGTACACTTCCGCCGTACGGCCTCTGTCATTGGCCAGGGCGTCTTTGTTTCTGCCGTAACTGTACGCCGATTGGTGTGCTGAAAGACCAAACAGAACGCCCTCCTTCTGTCGTCTGCGATTGGCTAGATTCCGGTGACGTAACAGTTTTCCTGGCCCTGAAGTAACTCAGGGAACCGGGGGCGGGGTTTCGAGTTGGGCTTTGTTTCTTCCTCCCTATTCTTGAGACGGTCCAAGTCAATCTCCCACCGGGAAGCCTTTTTCCTCCTCTTCAATTCCAGGCTCCCTTAGAAGCCTCTGCAGGAACCAAGCCTGTTTTCTTTTTTGCTTTTTATTTTGAGACGAAGTCTCGCGCTGCCGCCCAGGCTAGAGTGCAATCTCGGCTCACTGCAACCATCGCCTCCAGGGTTCAAGCGATTCTCCTGTCCCAGCCTCCAGGGTAGCTGGGATTACAGGCGTGTGTCACCACGCCCGGGTAATTCTTTGTATTTTTAGTAGAGACAGGGTTTCACCATGTTGGTCAGGCTGGTCTCGAACTCCTGACCTCAGGCGATCCACTCGCCTCAGTCTCCCAAAGTGCTGCGATTACAGGCATGAGCCACCGTGCCCGGCCTCTCTGTCGCCCAGGCTTGAGTGCAGTGGTGCGATCATTGCTCACTGCAGCCTCCAACTCCTGGGTTCAAGGGATTCTCCTGCCCCAGCCTCCGAGTAGGTGGGATTACAGGTGCGCACCACCACACCCGGGTAATTTTTGTAATTTTTTGTAGAGACGATCTCGCTATGTTGTGCAGGCAGGTCTCGAACTCCTGGGGCCAAGCGATCCTCCCACTTAAGCCTCCCAAAGTGCATAAGAGCCACTGTCCCTCCCCCAGGCCCAAAGTCTGTTTTCTATGGGACTGGTTGGAGGCTCCTCCCATCTGGGACTCCAGCCTGAGTCTCACCTCCTGTTTCTCACCTTCCTGTAAGGGACGTGGGAAATCACTCACATTTGCACGGGGAATTAAGATTTGCTAATTTCAAACCCATGTTGTTCAAGTAATTATGTATTTTAAAAAACAATTTGCTAAACCTTACACTTTAATTGCATCGAATCTTCAACTCCTTTTACAGCCTGGATAAGGTGAAGAATCTGAGTCTCTCGGGGCACCCAGTTAGTGGTGGAACAAAGACAAAATTGATCTTAACGGAAAGTCTCCTCTGAACATGTTATGTAGAATTCCCATGTTCTCTTTTACATTTTCTTTCTTTCTTTCTTTCTTTCTTTGAGACAGTCTTGCTCTGTCACCCAGGCTGGAGGGCAGTGGTGCAATCATAGCTCCCTGCAGTCTCCACCTGCTTGGTTGGGCTCAACCGATCCTACAGGCGCGCGCCTCCACACCTGGCTAATTTCATTTGTTTGTTTGTTTGTTTTTAAGAGCACTTATAGTGATACATGACCTCCTATTTTATTGTTTCTCCTCCAGTAGAATGTTCTTCCCTTTCCACAAGACCAGGGACTTTGTTTAGTTTTCTGTTGTATCTTTAGCACTTATGACAGTGCCTGCTATTTTTTTTTTTTTTTTTTTTGAGACGGAGTCTCGCTCTGTCGCCCAGGCGGGAGTGCAGTGGCCAGATCTCAGCTCACTGCAAGCTCCGCCTCCCGGGTTGACGCCATTCTCCTGCCTCAGCCTCCCGAGTAGCTGGGACTACAGGTGCCGCCACCACGCCCGGCTAGTTTTTTGTATTTTTTAGTAGAGACGGGGTTTCACCGTGCTAGCCAGGATGGTCTCGATCTCCTGACCTCGTGATCCGCCCGTCTCGGCCTCCCAAAGTGCTGGGATTACAGGCTTGAGCCACCGCGCCCGGCCAATGCCTGCTATTTGGAATGAACAAATGAATGAGTGACTAGGATGAACTTTGAGCAGAGATCTGACTGGATTTAGGAAGTGAGCCATGAGATATATCTATGGCAGAGAATTCTGGATAGAGGAAACAGCAAAGGCCTAAAACAGAAGTGTACTAGAAATGGACAACAAGGCCGGGTGTGGTGGCTCATGCCTGTAATTCCAGCACTTTGGGAGGCCAAGGCAGGCGGATCACGAGGTCAGGAATTCGAGATCAGCCTGACCAACATAGTAAAACCCCGTCTCTACTAAAAATACAAAATTAGCCGGGTGTGGTGGCACGTGCCTGTAGTCCCAGCTACTCAGGAGGCTGAGGCAGGAGAATCGTTTGAATTCGGGAGGTGGAGGTTGCAGTGAGCCGAGATAGCGCCACTGCACTCCAGCCTGGGCGACAGAGCGAGACTTCCGTTCTCAAAAGAAACACAAAAAAAAAAAAAAAAAAGGCAACAAACTGTGAAGTTGCCAATGTGGCTGAACAGATGATACACAGGAAACAGTAGACATGAAGCTGTGAGGCAGGAGAGAATGCAGATGATATAGGGCCTTGAACCCTTGGTAAGACCTGGGAAACTACGGAAAGTTTGTAAGGGAGGGACAAGATGTGACATATCGGCAGGCGTGTGGTGTCATGCCTGCGAATTCTAGCACTTTGGGAGGCCAAGGTGGGTGAATCACCTGAGGTTGGGAGTTCGAGACCAGCCTTACCAACGTGGAGAAGCCCTGTCTATTAAAACGTACAAAAATTAGCCAGGGGGGTGATGCACCCCTGTATATCCAGTGGTCGGGAGGTGATGCAGGCAAATCACTTGAACCCAGGAGGCGGAGTTTGGCAAGTGAGCCGGAGATCTGCACCATTGCACTCCCAGCCTGGGGCAACAAGAGCGAAACTCTGTCTCAAAAAAACAAAAAAACCAAAAAACAAAAAAACAGTGACATATGTTCTTTTCATTTGTTTATGTTACATGTATTTTTTGAGACGGAGTTCTCACTTTAGGTGGAATGCAATAGAGCATAATCTTCAGCTCCACTGCAGTGCTCACCTCTTGAGTTGCAAGCAATTTTTTTGCTCAGTCTCCGATAACAGGCGCTGGCAACCTTGCCCAGCTAAATTTTTGTGTATTTTAGTAGAGACGGAGCTTTGCACCATTGTTTGGCAGGGCGGTTCTCAAACTCTGACGCCTCAGAGGTGATCTGCCTTGCCTGTGTTGGCCCCCCCGCCTCCTTTTTTTCTCAACAGTACTGGTGCGACTTTACAGCGTGAGTTCGCACTGCGCCAGCCAAGATGTGCATAATTTTTTTTACGTGGTTTTTTTTTTTGAGTACGGAGTCTCACTCGTGCGCCAGGCTGGAGTGCTGTGGCCGACGATCCCTCAGTTCCTGGCAAGCTCCGCGGTCCGGGTTTCCCACCAGCCTGCCTGAGCCTCCGAGTGAGCTGGGACTCAGGCGCCCGCCACCGCGGCGTTTGTGTATTTCTCTTTATAGAGACGGGGTTCAGCGTTGTTAGCCAGGATGTCTCGATCTGCCTGGACGTGACACCTGGTCCAGCCTCCCAAATGCTGGGAACAGTGAGCCCACCGGGTGCCTTGGCTCTTTTTACCTTATTTAGAGAAAGTCTTACTCTGTTGCTGGGAGTACCAGTGGTGTGTCTAGGTCACTGCAGCCTGCAGTCCTGGGCTAAGCAGACCTTCCACATCAGCCTCCTGAGTGCTGGCCCACAGATGGTACCATCACGCCCCAGCCAATTATTTTTTGTGAAGACAGAATCTGGCCATGTGCCCAGGCTGATCTGAAATTTCTGACCTCAATGACCTCCACCTACGCTCGTCAAGTGCTGGGATTACAGGCATCAGCCACTGCACCTGGCCTGTGACTTCTTTTTTTTTTTTTTTTTTTTTGAGACAGGGTCTCACTATGTTCCTCCAGGTGGAGTACAGTGGCATAGTCACAGCTCACTGCAGTCTTACCTCGCCGGATCAAGTGGTCCTTCCACCTCAACTTGAGTAGCTGGGACTACAGGTGTCCACCACCACGCCTGGCTAATTTTTGTATTTTTTTTGTGGAGAGGGGTTTTGCCATGTTGCCCAGGCTGGTCTTAAACTCTTGGCCTCAGCAATCCTCCTGACTCAGCCTCCCATAGTGCTGGGATTACAGCTGTGAGCCACCACACCTGGTCACATTCTTAAAAGATTATTCTGTATAGTAAATATGTGTTGAATGAATGAATGAATGAAAAGAAATCCTCAAGCTGGACCCCAATACCATAAGCATGGAGATCTGACCCCTTCCTCAGTTAAGAAACATTTATTTGGATAAGAAAGAGGGCCTGAGGGCTAGGGGCCGGGGCTGGCCTGGGTCTCAGTCCTGGGACTCAGCAGCCCGCACAGGTTGGGAGGGGCACTTCCTCTTGCTTAGGTTGGTGAGGATCTGGTCCTGGTTGGGCCGGTGGAGAACCACAAAGCTCTCTGGAGGAAGGACGGGGCCTCTGTTCTCTTCCACCTGGCCCATCAGCAGATAACTGACTCCTGGAAGAAGGAGGGAGGGAGGGGTTGAGATCTCTTATTCTTGAGACCTGTCAGCAGGTCTCAAGATTCCACACCTTGATCATTTCAGTGTGGCTTAGCTCACCCCATCCCCATTTCTCCACATCTCTGTTACCTTTCTTCAAGGGGGGGCACTGCTTGCAAGGCACGTAAAACTTCAGGGAGGTGCCAGTGGGTGGAGAAGGCAGGTCCAGTCCTCCAGTTTTATAAGCACCAATAAGACTGACAGTGACAGCGAGGCCCTCCCCTGGCTCCCGAACCATGGACTTCACCGTTGCAGTCACCACTGTGGGAGAATGGGAGTGAGAGATGAGGAGATGGGAGGTTCCAGACGGCAGAGGACTGGAA